GAATTTGGTGGCAATTCATATTTAAATAATGAAAGCTAAGTATTACAGCTTGAACTAAATAAAACAAATTCCCTGCAACAGAAGGCACAACAGCCTCAGCACAGTATCATCAATGATGGTGCAAACACAAACTGGACACCACCTGACTGAGCAGGACATGGAACAGAACACTTGCCAGGATTTCCTGATCTGCAAGATTCATCCTCTAGCAGAAGAGGAGATTGCACCTGCTCTAAAATGGGCAAACCCACAACACAAAGTTTATCAAAACTAGACCTCCTAGGTTCTTGTCTGGACCTGTTTTAACATGTGAAAGTTTTACCCAGGCAGCACCTGGAAGATCCTTTCCATTCCAGCCTGCTCTCTGGCAGGCCATTGGGCACTCCCTCAGCACCCTGCAGCAGTGCTCCACATACAGGGGAGCCCGGTACTGCTGCAGGGCACACCTGGATTTGTTGGGTTGGGTGGGCTGATGCAGCTCAGACACATGGGCTGAGCTCATGCTGCAGAACTCCTGTTTGCCCACAGACACGGTCTTGCCAGAAACGCGAGTTACTGAATGTACTTAGTTCATCTCTGGGACTGCACTTGCCAAGTGTGCACTGCACAGAGCAGTGCCCAAGGGCTTTTTGACAGACCTGTTCCATCCTTAGCAATCCCTGTATGACTGCCTGATTTGTGCCACAAAGGGATTTACCACAGTTCCCTTCTACACCAAGCACATCCCTCCTCCCTGAATGCACTGCCTTAAACAGTTATGTAACATTCATCCAAAGCTTCATACAAAGTGATGTTTATAAAGGCCTGAAGAATCAGACCCCTACAACTTTTCCCTAGTTATTGATTTTCTTCAGAAATAAAAAACATAAAGATTAGAATTCTAAAGATTTTACAAATATTCTTTGTATAGGGAGCGTGTATTGGCCATCAATACATTAGAGTGCACTGTGCTAATTTTGGCTTTGAGAGCATGGATAGTCATTTGACACATGGAGAGCTTGGACTCAAGTCCTGTTTGTTCACTGACATTCATATCAGTATTCACTGCCATAGAGCCAGCCTGGGGAATAGAAGTGTGCTGTAAACAATAGAAAAGCAGACTGGTTTCCAAATCCCATACCTACAACTTCAACACCCATAAAGTATATTGCTGCTGTTGTCCAGGATAACACTGATAGTATTTCACAAGTGGCTATCAGTCAGTTATGGAACCAGAGATAAAAAACAGTTGTCTTCAAAGGAGAAGCAGTATTTTAATTTTTTCTATTTATTCAAGGTGTAACCAAAATATTTATTGCACATGCTACTTATCACCACCTCCTGTGATCATAATCTCTAATCAACACAAGGGTATCTGCATTTGATGGATGGATGAAAAGATGCAGACATTAGTGTTAAATAGCAACACTAACTCTGGATAACCTTCCCAGGATCCCTTGATTTTAGAGGGATTATCTCACATATTTGCAGTAACTTTCCACTGCAGTCATGTGGAAAGCGCACCTTAAAAAGAATCTTCATTGACAGTATATCCATTTTTTGAGTATCACCCTTAACATTAAGCATGAAGTTAAGTATACAATTTTAGTGTACAATTTCACTACTATAGTTATGCATGGAGCTGAAGCATATTTAGAACATGGGTAGGATTAGGATAGGTATAGTTGGGTTCCTCTCTTGAAAGAAACAACCCAAGAAAAAATTCAGATACGCTGCAAAATGATGGATGGATCTACACATGGGAAAGCCACTCAGATTTCAATGTTTAATGGTACAACAGAATCAAGCACAAAAGGCTCAAAATTTTGTGCCACCAAAAGGTGGGATTGTTGGTATAATATTACCCTGGTTAAACCTGTTTTTGTTGTATGACTTTGGTACCACCATAATATGGGACTAACATTTAAACTCAAGGTAGATATTACTGAAAGTAAAACAATTACATCTGCCCTAGTCAAAGAGGATGAGAAAATTTAATTCCCCAAAATTTTTGAAATTAGACCATGTGATCAAAAATGCAGATCAGCAACAAATGTTGTTTAATCCACCTTGGTTTCTTAAACAAATAGAACTAGTAATGCAGATTAATACTTCTACACATAAACCAATGTGGTCACCATCCTGATGTGCTCCCCATGCAAGACAGATTGGCTACGTGGGCAAAACGCCACAAGGAATAAGAAGAATTGTGACTGGAACCACAGGGAGTTTTAAATTGTACAGATGCTGAAATACTTATAAATAACCTGAGCACAACCATAAGTGATTTAAGCAAATTGCAACACCCTCTGTGGTGTTCTCTACCAGCATTAGAAACTAATCAATGGCTCTTATCTGACACATTGCCTCAGTGGGAAAGAATCAATGAGCAAGCTCATAGTTGATCCCAGAGGCACTTGGTGCAAACCAAGGTCAAGGTTGTTTTTCTCTTAGCTACGTCTGAGCTCAGTTGCGGATACAATCAACAGCAGCAATTTTAAGAGAAGGCAAAGAAGGCACCTCCACCCACTGAACTTCAAAAAGTAATTTGGAATAATGACTGAATTTGCAAAGGAATTCCGGCCTTGGTGGCATTTAGTCCGTTATAATACCATCAATAGCACAGTCCTGGTACTAATCCATATAGGAGCCTCAGTGTCCATCACTCAGTCGCTGCACTAGGCCTGAATCATAACCGAACCCTACCCCAGAGAATTCCCCGTGTGCCCGTGGGGAATGGCAAACCATCAGTGTTAATACATGCACTGCATGGGAATAGGGACTCACCTGTGCACTAACACCAAAGCCCTGACATTCGTCTGGATTCAGAATAGTGTTTGTCATTTTGAAATCCATCCTGATGAAGCTAATGAACGCGTACTTTAATATACTGGAAAACTACGTGCTTATATGAGAACAATTTGTGGCTTCATATTTGTAGATAACCTTATTGTAGATACAGATAATTACTCTAATGTTTGTGTTCCAAATTTCACCAAAATCAATGGGTGGGATTTCAATTATTCCGTTCCTGTCACATTATTATCAGCTATTGCAGTATATTTATATGCTGATTCAAGATCTGCTGCCCACCCCAGTTGGGATGAATCTCACTTGAGTAAGAAAATTATTATAGCAGGATGATCTGCAACAACTGCTGAAACAAGTTCAGAAGAATGGATAAAATACTTTGATTACTGTCCATTGTGATGTGGAAAGCACACAAGGGTTGGAACAAGTGAAAAGTGTCCTACCACAGGGGTGGTAAGACACTTTTCAGATGGTCACTAACCATCACTACAGGGAGTTTAAGTGAGAAGTCTTATCTTGTTGTTCTCCTAATACTAACCCTATTATGCTTTGTCTGAATTGCAGCACTATGTATTTGCATTTGGGAAATCATGAAGCAATTGATTTACCTGTCAGCCCCATGATTCCTTTCAGGAAAATATGTGACAGTTCCAAAGTGAGACTTATGATATGTATAAGAAGCATCATAAGTACAGAAGTGGGGAACTGATGTTTAACAGGAACAAAGTTCCAAATAATAAGACAGAGAACAAAGCAGTTAAGCAATAGGAGCAATGGCTGCAGGAATGTAGAAAACAAAAAATTGATGTCCTATGTCCTTGAAGGGGAGGGAGCAAAAAGATCACACCCTTTTTATTCAGGACTTTATATGATGGGCCAACAAACCCCCAGGTCTGACTGCTTCTATGGTGAGAACTTGCCCTTGCCATGAACTTTCCTCATTAGATTCTAACAGTAAAAGCCAAATCTCTAGCTCAGCCCCCTCTGCCCACCAAGAGCCCACTGCTCACTGAGCACATACCACGACTTCTTGGGCACTACACCTTGAGACTGAAACAGAGAGAAGCTAACAGCAACTTAACCATGCAGTGAAGTAAGATCTGCTTGGCCTGAGACTGTAACCTATAGGTGTGCCTGCCTTGGTCTGTCTCCATGCTAGCTCTGACAATTCACCACCCAGCAGCCCTTTCTGCACACAACTGTAAACAGATCAAAAACCTCCACTCTCTGTGGGGATCAATTTCTTGCACACCAAAAGGGTCAAATAATCAGTTTTGAAAGAATCAGAATCATATTCTTCTGCAATCACTACCTTAAAAAAAAAAGGTCAAATTCTGATTCAGTGCAGCTCCACAACCAACTCCCAACAGCAGGACAGTATTATCCCCTGGCCCTATTGTCCCTGCTGTCACTGCAAGCAGGTCATGGCTCAAGGACATTGCCTGGACTGGGATTTACACTTGTTCCTCCCCATTTTTAAGCTTGACCCTTCATGATTGTACTACTGCCAGGCAGTGCTAGGTCTCATACACCATGCTACCGAGTCCAAACTCCAGCCATAGCATTCTCTGCACCTTGGCTCCTCCCTGCCACCTGCCCCCTCCTATGCCAAGGGTTCAGCTCCAAGTCAGGTAATTCTTTCATTTATCCACCCTAGCCCCAAACAGGTTCAGACAGACTGCTTCCACTCAGTTCTTCCTGCTTGCTGGATCTCTGCAGAGGAGCTGGGTTTCTTACAGAAAGAAATGCAAACAAAAAATACTTCTTTCATTGCACAGAAATCCTTCACAGGACTTTGTGAATTACTTATCATGCAGTAAGCCTCAGGCCTGCATTCAGCATGGAAAACCTCAGGCTCAACTGAAAGAAGCCCCATGTCTCTCAGTCATGCTTTCTTAGAATAATGTTCACATCAGCTTTGCTACCATTAAACTAAAAAAAACCCCAAAACAATAGGGCTGACAGTTCCCATTCCTTCACTCAAAACTCACACAGTAAGTGAAACTTAGACTTTTTTGGCATTGAGTAATTACTATATACCAGTAACACCAGGTTAGAGAGAAGCCATGATATAGTAATAAATCCTGAGTACATTTAGTAACTCTTCTCATATTTTATTGTCAGTAACAGAAACACAGCAAGATACAAGGCACACAGCTTTTGAGCATTTCACCACAGTGTGCCAAGTGCTATATAGAATAGAAACTCACTTTTAAGTAAACATAAGTGTTTTAATGATTATCTTAACATTTCCGTGGCTGTTGAATAATGTAAATTCTTTTAGGCAGTATGAACTTCTCCAAGGTAGGTTGTGGCTTTTGGTGAGCCACTTGTAATGTTGCTGCATGGATTTTGTGGCTCATCTGTAACATTAAAGGGGGGAGAAAAAAAGTTGTGATAGAATACAGATTTTCAGCTATTCTCTTTCTAAATTTTATCCTATTAAAGTAGTTTAAAAGGAGCAGTAAAACCTAAACCCACAAAAAGTTCAAGTGATCAATACACAGAACTCATGCTAACTTGGTATATTTAGTTATAATTTCTGTTTTCAAAGTGATATTAGTCTGACTACCTTTCGGGAATTTTTGATTTTTTTCTTCCCTTGTTTAGTAGCTCATAGAATGATCTTCCAAGATAAAGAAAACACAGCAAATAATCAGTATGTCAGAGTTAACAGTAAGTTGAATCAAATTCTTATTTTCCCAGGTTCAAAATCATAATTATTACAGTAACTAACTATCACATTCTAAAGTAGCAAGGAAGTTTCATATACAAGATTGTGGAAACCAGGAGGAGAAGGAAATGGTGGGTCAGAACAGAGGGGATGAGGACAGGTGGAAGAGAAGGAGGATGAGTCGTATCTGTTCTTCATTAAAAAGTCTAAACAAAAATTCAAGATTTACAGGTTAAATCTATAAATACAACTGTTGATAAAAGGCTTGTGTTGAAATTATGCAACTGATGTTTTACTGGGCTCTAGGGATGAGGAACTCTTGTATGCTTCAGAGTCTGAACATTGCAAGTGTAACAAAGGGATGACAGCTGTCAGATCTTCAGATTACTATGCAAACCGAAGAGCTGCTTGTGAAATCAGCTCTTCCAAAGGGCAGGGGTAAGTCTGCACCAACAGCCTAATAAGACACAGGACAGGAGCTGTAAGCATGTGATAAACAGAAGGGTCCATTACAGCTGTGGGACACAAGATTTTACAAGATCCTGTAGTATTCCTAAGGGAGAAGTCAAAAGGTGCCTGAGTGAGTGATTTCAGGCCTCAGATGGCACAGCAAGAGGACATGCTGTGGCTGTTGTCTCGGGGATCATTCCCAGAGCAGGACGCTGGGTCACCATCCTGGTGTCCCCAGCACCTGCCACCCACCTCCCTCAAGCAGCTCCGTATTTCTGCTGGACCCTTCTAGGAGTCAAAGTGATTTCCATGGTGGGATAAAGCACTGAAGACAAGGTTTTGCTCGGCACTGTAATGCCAGCTGGGCCAGACACTTAGATGCCACTGGTAATTGTTCCCCATATTTCACTAAGGCTAGTGCACGATGCCACTTGACAAGCAGGACACACCTCGCTGCTTGGCTGTGCTTCTCTGCACAGGTGAGCACAGCTACCCAGGGCATGCTGCAGTAACCAGGAGAGGAGTCACAGCAAGGACAGAAGCCCAGGTACTTTTTAGCCATCTAGCAGCTCAGCCACGCAACCACTACAGAAATAGGTTATCCCAAGAACATTTAGTGCCAGACGGAACACCTGCAACTGCCAGACACCAGTTTAAGGAAATTTCACTTTTTAACATTTTTTCCTGTTTAGCTTTATAAAGAAACCCTGACTTTTCTTTCAGACTTACTTTGTTCAGTGCTTCTGCTACCAAGACACCCATGTTCTGAGGTTTTGCAAAACTGACAATAGCACTGTAAAGCAGAAGAAAAAAATATTTAGCATTTCCTTCTCACAAAAACGCAAAGCATTTGTCACTTTCATTTTCCAGACTTAATACAAAACATTTTGCAATATAAATTTAGGATTTGGAGCTAAATCTTTTCATCACGTTAAAAACTATGTCATATCAAAAAAGGCATGCTGTTTCAGAATGGAACAGCAGAAAATCTATGACAGGCTCATATTTTTATTCAGATATCCATGAAACTGTATATGAAATATCCTTGAATATCTCGAAAAGAAATTTTTTTTGTACACTGTGAAATAACTTCTCAGAAGCTGAGCAGTTATATCCCAATCTACAAAACATTTTCTTGATTCCAATTTAGACCCATGATAAAAATTTACCCTCTGCTTTTGGAGAGTGTTTCCTTTCACAGCAACTATTTGTCACGCAAGAACTTTTTTTTCACAAGATTACCCTATTAACTTCTTCATATTCCAATGAATTACACCATGTTACCAATATTCCACAAATAAACAAATCTGTGGATATGAAACAATTTACTTCAGCAAGAGGAAGAACTTCAGATGGCACATTCTCCTGATGATACCATTATATCCACTGACACATCTGTAGCTTAAAATGGAGTAGTGAAAAATCATTATAAACCCCAAATATCATAAATGTAACTCTTAAAAAAGCAGATATTGCTTAAGTTAATGATTCTGTGGATTAGGCAAGACATTTCCTACTGACATTTCAATTTAGCAATTGACAGTTTGCTACACTGACAAATATGTTATTTAAGATCTGTTTATACCATTAGGTAACTATGACTATGGAGAAGACAGGTAAAAAATTACACCCAGACAATTGGCAACAAGTGAAAATAAAAAGCTTCTAATCCCAGAAAAAAACAACAACAACAACAAAAAATTTCGGGAACATCACAAGTCATTCAAATTTTACTGTCATATCCTTATATTGGTTAACTTAACTTTTTGTAAAGTGACATTTAAGAAAAGTGCAGGTATTTAGGAAAAATGTTCAGTCTTTGAAAAAGCTGCAAGAAAATACTTGTTTTAATGACCACATCAACTGGTGACTGTTATTTTATTCAAAATAGAAGTATACCTTCATTTTCAAGGCAAAACAGTTTGGTTAACCTTATAAAGTAGCAAACAGCAAAAGCCAAATTAGATTTTAGATTGAAATAGGGAGTATAGCCTATACAGGAGATAAGACTCTTCCTTGGGGGAGTTGATGTGGGTTTAATTTCCTTGAGAATGTGGACAGCCTAAAGTTCATTCCTATTTCACTGGAAACTGTTTGACCATTCCTTTATTAGGCACAGGTATGTAATACATTGTTTTAGTTTCTGTTCCATAAAACATGACAATAGAGATGAGATTCAGCCTTGCCTTTCATTGCAAGGCACTATCCTTGGGTTTTGAAGTTGTTGGGTTTTGGGGTTTTATAAGTGAATACTTATTTCAATATCAGTATTATTTTATCTACAATTTGCACAAGATAATTTAAGAATTAAACTCTTGTAGAATAAGAGTTTTCTTTGTTTTCAAGGATCATTGCCTATGAACTTGAACTACAGGGCAGGGGGAAACAGGCCCTGCATTGTAATACCTTGACTTTTCTTTTCCTGGAAGTTTAGCATTTTTCTCAGCAGGTCCATTTTCTTGCTTTTTAGACACTCTCATACCTCCAGCTTTAACTGCAAGAAGAAAGTGAAATGTGAGTAAAAATACCTACAGAACTGCATACCACATTACATACACAAGAAGAGAATAATTTTACCCAGGATTACCATTAACCAGAAATCATCTTTCAGTATTTAGCTCCATGCTTTACTTGTACACACACATACACAGGAGTAGCCAAAGAGATGCAGCAAAGGCTTCAAAATTCTGTGTCACAGCAGACTCAAATCAACTTCCAGACACCATAAACCAGGAAATCAAGAGTGGTTTCAGGCACCACTAACTATATTAAACCTTAACACCTTACTATGTTAATATGCATTCTTCCCTAGAAACTATTACATCTCTGATTTGTATTTTAAAAACAAAAAAGAAAACCAAACACCATCTGAACACTTTCAGGTTTTTGAACAATGTGACTAACAGCAATAAGGGCTTCATGATCAGTTCAGGATATCCCAGAATCAATTTTATAATGCAGATAAGAACCGGACCTATACTCATCTTGTACTTGTGTTCCAACATGTTTAATTATATTTTATTAACATATCTGCCAGTCACAAAACCAATTAGTACTAATTAAGCTACAGGCGACCTAACAACAACAATTTAAGTTCTGAGGCATATCTGAAAATTGAATTCTGAACAAAGAACACAAAGTTATCTAAAACATTCTCTTGAAAGAAATACTTTCTCCCTCTTCAGGAGAGCATTTTAAGTTTTAAAACTGTAAGTAAGAAAGAACAACCTTAGTGTTCTTTTCTCATCCTTTTTAGCAGGTTGCTTCCCCTCTCAGCAAGACTCCTATTCTGATCGTGAACAATCAAGGCTGGAGTTTTAATTTGAGGGAAGGAGAGAATAGGGAAAGGATTCTAGAATTACTTAACTAGCAAGCATGAGAAATGCATTTGTATCCATCTGTAACTAATGCCCATTTTCTACCAAATCTGACTCCTAATCTGACTCCTGACCATGTATTTCCTGGTTGCAGGTTTAATTTTAGAAACAAAAATTCTCCCTCAGTCATGTCCAAGGGAGCTTTATAAGATCGGACTTATGCTATAGCTAGACTTGGCTTTTCTTCTCTTCCTAAAATGACATACATACAGTTAATTATACTGCTGTATAAGCAGCAAATTCTTTGCCCAGCCATCTTACAGCTGCAAATACACTGGAGACCTAGACTGAACCTAGTCCTTCTGGCAGCCTAACTGCAAAATTAAAAGTATCTGAAATGGAAGTTTCAACCATTTGTTTCCAAGTGTCTACCAGCAAAGAGAACTGAGACTCTAAATACCCTCAGATCACAAGGTGTGAAACTCTTCCTTGTCTTTGAGGCATCTTCAAACTAAAATGACAAAGCATGTTTAAAAAAAACCAAACCAAACAACCACAAACCAAATATCAACAACAAACCAGACCAAACACACAAAAAAAAAGCCCTGACATCTTTCAAGATCTCAGAGATATTCTCAGCATAATTTCTCTTCATATAAATTCATCCAGAACACAACACAGGTTATCCCAAGTGTTCTCCCACACATTGATATGCTCTCATCTTTTTAGGAGCCAGTCAAACCACAAACAGGAAAACCACTAAAATTTTGGAATTACATAAAAAAAAAAAAAGGTAACTGAACCTAGACCTGCAGCTTTTGGTTTGGGACCTTCCCTCACATGCAGGATTGGCAATTTCTAGATACATACATTGTTTTTAGTTTTAATTTAGCAGGGCAAGGAGATCCAGACAGAAGCAGACATTTTAACACTATGAGGCTTCACACAAAGCACAAGGGGAGCTAGACAAGGAGGAGAGAAATACCCAACGTGGGAAGAGATACTGAAACATAGACAGTCTGGAATTGTGTCTGTTACCACTAGGCCCACAAAACAATGTTATCTATAGTGATTAAACATAACCCATGTTCCTTTCCATCTCTGCACTGACTTGAAACTAGCCACTAGGAACAGCTGTCCCACCTGTTCACACACTTCCATGGTAGGGCAAGAGTTAAACACAGATGCATCTGGGATGCTCCACAAAGCTGTTTTGTAATTTGGTTTCCAAAGCAATAGAGAGGTATGGCAAACTTTTAATACAGAGTTCAATTTTGTGATTTTTATAAGTGACCTGTTAGCCATGTAATCCAACAGTTAAGTGACAAAATCCTTACTAATTTCCATTTTTAAAAGACCATGCATTTTTAAAATAAAACAAGAAAGTAAGGAGGTGCACTCCTTTTTATGCTCCCCTCTCAAAAAAAAAAACAAAAACAAAAACAAAAAAAAACACCAAAACAAAACAAAACTAACCAACAACAACAGCAACAAAACAGCATAAAAACAAACCCAAGTGAAAACAAAGCTTGGCTGAATACTGGTCAGAATAAACCACTTACTCTGCTACCTCCACCCCTCGGCCAAGCTGGTCCCCCCTGCAGTCACACATAAGCTCCACCAGGACTTTCTTGGAGACTTGCAAATCTCCAAGTTGCAGAATACTATCATGCAAGTTCAGAAAGACCAGTACCTGCTCCAGGTCACTGACTGCAGCGGTTTAAAGCCCCTTTCAGGTACAGCTCAACTGTCCCTGCCACACACACAAAAGTCCAGGAATGGACTAGAGACAAGATGAAAAATTTATTTACATCCCCAATTCATGTAGAAGTATGCTAAAAAAACCTCCAAACAAAAATATTTCCAAGCAAACAAAACCGTTCTATGGGGTACAGGGAGACAGACAAGTATGTGCTCCTCAGGCACTAACTGCTCCTAATAAACCGAGGGGAAGTCCCAACTAGTTTAAAGACTTGTAGTGACGGTTCCTCAGGTATCAAAGGCTGAGCCTGCAGTGACTGTGCTAGCAGCGACTATCTCCCAGCTCCAAAGGCTGAGCCTGCAGCATCTCTGCGTGTGCCCCAGAACAGGCACACACACACACACACACAGCTCACTCACTGGTGTGTTTGAGAGACAGCTCCGCACAGCTCCCGGGATGGCCCAGGAGCTGCTCACACTGTATGCATTTACACGCTCCCCTAACAAACACATGCGCTACTACACTCGCCACTACGTCCTTAAAGTCGCGGTACTACATCCTCAGAGCCGCCACACAGGCAGAGCGGCGGCTGGAACAGCAGGCTCGAAGGCTTCCTCACAGAGAGATCTATCTCTGTGAGGCGGGGGGGGGCGCTTGGTGGAGGGGAAGTAAATTCTTCACCTTACTACAGGAGGTGGGGGATACGGCTGCAACATTAAACACAGACATTAAACATTATATCTCAATAACGCCCGAGCACCGAGCGGCGCCAGCCGCACACCCGCCGACCGAGGGCACCCGTGATGGGGCGGCGCGGGACCTGCTGGGAAGAGCGGGCCGCGCACAACAGACCCGCCTCCCCAATTCCCGGTCCTCTCCGCGGAGCAGCTGCATCTGTGTGGGACGGTGCGGCGGCAGAGCCCCCCCACACCGCGCCCGGAGCGGCTCCGGCCCCGGCCCCTACCTGCGGGAGGGCGGCGGCCCGGCGGGACACTCTTCCTCAGCACCATGGCGGAACCGGGAGCGCCGGGAACCAAGCGGGGCAGGCCAGGGCAGGACCACGGAACTGCGCAGGAAACCGCGCACCGACCCGAGCGGCAGCGCCTTCGGCGGTTCGGAGCGCTTGGGGTGGGGCGGGGCAGGGTCCTGTGAGCGGGGAGCGGCGTGAGGGGCGGTACGAAGCCGATAGTGAGGGGCGGCAAGCGCTCCGAAGGGAGGTGTGAGAGGCGGAGCGGTGTGAGGGGTGGAGAGCGGTGTGAGGGCAGGTGAGAGGAGCAGGGAGCGGCTGAGGGGTGGGGAGCGGTGTGAGGGCAGGGGGCGGCGTGAGGGGTGGTGCGAGAGGCGGGGAACGGCGTGAGGGACGGCGTGAGGGGTAGGGAGCGGCGTGAGGGGTGGGGAGCGGTGTGAGGGCAGATGAGAGGGGCAGGGGGCGGTGTGAGGGGCGGTGAGAGAGGCGGGGAGCGGCCTGAGGGCAGGGTGTGGTGTGAGGGGCGGCGTGAGAGGTGGGGAACGGCGTGAGGGCAGGTGAGAGAGGCGGGGAGCGCTGTGAGGGGCGGGACTTTTAAAAACATTGCTAGAGTCAAAGAACTTGATTTAGTGAGGTAAATCTTACCCTCTTCAATCAGTAGTATCTACTTGAGACAAGCAAAACATTGTCATTCATATGCCCTCTTTTAAAAAATCCATGACCTTAACAAACATTGACGTTTTACACAACATATTAGAAACACAAACCCAGAAAATAGATACAGCCAATCTGGAATTATTTACTGTATGAACCCCTCAATATTTTCATTTTCGGTATTTAAAATGACCAAAAAAAAAAAAAAGAAGAAGGAATTATCTTTTAATGTTTACCATCTATGCTGTAAATTATACTGCGGATGAAGAAATGTTCATCACAAAAGTTGTCAGTTTCTTGAAGCTGTCAGTGGCGGTAAGATTTTGTATTTTGTATTACTATTCCACTATACCGGTACCGCCGGGTCTCCAGAAGGATGAGGCGGGTGCCGGGCAGGTGTGAGGCAGCAGATGCATCCCACGGCGCTCTCACAGCGTTCCGAAGGGATGTGAGTGCCCCGGGGAGGGCGACTGGGGCAGCGGCTCCTGCAGCGGCTCTGCTGCGGCTGCGGCCGCGCTGCTCACCGTGCCCGCCGAGGGAGGGCGGCCCTGCCTCTGCTGCCGCGGGCTGGGCTGGGCTGCAGGCAGCTGCTGCAACCATCGTGCACACTGTCAAAAAGATTTCCCTAGACTGCTGTAAACATGTTCTGCTTTGCTGTGCTAAAGCATTTCGTCACAAAAACTTGCTCTTTTAGGGATTCTGAAAGCAAAACACGAAAAAAGAAAAAAAATTGTTAAGTCTCGTGATTTATTTGGAATTGTCTTATTATTGGATGTCAATGATTAAGAAAAAGGACATAGGGAATGTAAAGATAGGATGTGATTAAGTCAAATCAGAAGAAGGGGGAAATAAAGTAAAAAAAAAAAGGAAGAGAAAATAGATTAAGAAACCAGTAGGTATTTATAGCACAACAACCACTTTATGAGTGACTACTGTTGGCTTGGATCTTTAAAGCAGAAAAAAATGAAAGGACATCCAGTCTACACTAGATCTCTCTGATATTTAATTCTGTATGTATGAGGCAGGAAATAGTTTTGAAATGCAGCAATTTCCTCCCTAGAAAAGCAACTTACTTTGCAAATATTAAAGTTGATAGTGCTGCAAATCTCTGCCCATAAGCATTTAGCCTGAAGTGGATGATGGCAATTTTGATTGGGAAAATAAATTCTTTCACATAAAATGATCTGCAGGAGAGAGAACAAAAGAACCCTACTCTGAAGTACTTGGCCAGGAGTAGGGGATTTTGATATTCATGTTTCTCTGCCTCAGCAGAGAAATACTGATTTTTTCAGTTTGTTTACCTGAGCTGTTTGTTACTGCACAGATTGGAGAGGTGAAATTTCATTACTTACCACATAAGGCAGTCATGTAGCACAGCTTTGGTGCGCTGCCTAAAGCATTAATAATGATAAGGTTTAGTGCCATTGTACATCTGTTCTAGGAATTCTTGGGACAAGCATGGGAACTTGGTTTAAATAAGAAATTTTAAGTTCATGTTGACTTCTTACCATATTAAATATAATATGCCATTTCTTTTTTTCTTTTTCTTCCACCCTCTTTACTTAATTTCCTTTGTCACTTGGTATATCTTTAAATCAGAGGCTGTTGTGAAGCGAAACCATATTTATATAGTACTTTTTGGTGCACCTTATTCTTGACAGGCAGCCCTTGGCACTACCTCAACAATGCCACTGTGCCAGCTTAGATTTGTAAACCTGATTTTATGTAATGATTTCATTTATTTAGACTTTTTTTCTGTTTTCATTTAGACTTTTTACCTTTTGGAAATTGTTAGACTGGTTTGGCTGGGTGAGAAGAATTAACAAGAGAATAATCCTTCTGTGGCTGTGAGATAGTACAGTTGAAATCTCTTGCTTTTCCTGCCATCCTCAGTCCCATTTCCCAATCACGTAAATACCAAACTTCAGAGATGTTCATCTGATGCTGGGGATAGGTTTATTTTAATGATAGTAATTTGTGAATGACTGAATTAAAAATGAGTTTATATTGTAATGGTTCTACATATTTTCAGAATGTGGTTTTTTTCATAACAGAGGCAGATGTGGGAAAGCCTGGGGACAGACACAGAATTTTAACTGTGATAAAGAGACAATAGTCATTTAAATTTTCCTGAGTGGTGCTCTCAGCATCTCTCACATTCCTGGAAATTTCTCCTTTATAATCTATGTTCTAGAGGCAGGTTATTAGCCGATTGCAAAGTTTGAAAAGTCACTGGGCAGGAACAAAAATCACTATGCTCCCAAGCAGACCGTCTGTTCTAATCCAACTAACAGCTACTAGCATAATTATACACCAGTGTCTCGGGATGACAACCAGACAGCCCACATCAAAAACAAGCAGTTAGCATACAGACATATGGAATACCTTCCTCATGTGTCATATTTTAAACCGCATCTCTCTGTTGTTAAGATCTACTGCTCGTGACTCTGCAGTATTTCCCCTTCTCTGTCTTATTCCCCGTATTGCTTGTTTTCAAATGTCAGAATTACTAAATTGTGGCTACTGATACAAACTGATACTGGTTTTATATCTGGCAACTGAATGGTGAAATACTACTGCTGCTTTCTTAAAGTCAGTGACAGGTAGGCAATACCTTTTTCAGATGAGTCAATATAGCTTGTTTTAGATGCTCCAGGAGCCCAATGGAGACAACAAATATTCTGAGGCAGGTACATAGTGCTTTTTTGTTTTGTTTTTTGTTTGTCATGCTTTAATTTCTCCCACCCTTGGTTTTATGTTCTGTTCAGCACAAAGTTAATAATATTAGAGAGATCATTTGTGTTACGTGTCCAAAGCAAGGAGAAGTAAAGGCAGACATTTTCAGTGGGGTTTGTATTCAAATAATTTTTCACTAGTGCATGTAGTATATATTTGATAAAATCTGGAGGATATGTCTGGCTTCACATCTGTAAAGCTTGCCTGTTTCTTGTAGGGAACCTGACAAGTTCAGGTCTTGGTTCTGATCTGGATGCTGATTGTTTCTCAGACCACAGGAGAAAAAGAAGTCTCCAGGCTGGAAGGTAAAGGGCAACATCATTAAGCAGAGGAACCTTACTGGCTAATTTTAATCATAGATTTTTTTTTTCTCTTTTCCCCACAGAAGGACTAAAAAGATATACCTTTGTCATCACATGTTTTATCCACCTAAGTGCCCATGTTTAAAAAGTATTACTGGGCAGTGGAATAAGTGAGTGAATTCTAAAGAATTAGGTTGCAACACACAGACAGAGGCCTTTAGAATTTCATCTTAATGGAGATCAGTTTCTTCTCAGAGTGCGATTGCTTTTTGCCAATGAATAGGCAGATAGTTCATTCCACAATCTTTCTGACTTTGAGAGCTAGCTGAAAATTAGCACATTCCATAGCCTGCTACTTGTCTTATTCTTTTACACAGGATTCACATAACGTGGGACAGACCAGGAGGTGATGTTTCATACAACAGAACGGTATGTATGACAGCATTTACTAGAATCTGGGGTGCCCTGAAGCAGTAAGGAGATAGGGTGCCTGATATCATTGGCCTGCTCTAGGACTAGCACTGGTCAGTGAACCAGCTGACCCTGACAAGCTGACCCAGCTCTTTGGATGGCTGCAGAAATGCTACTGCTGCAGTCTCCCCAAGGGACCCCTGCTTTGTTTCACACAGCACTATCAATTTCTACTGGCGTGACAATGAGTCTACTATGGCTGCACACTAAATCTTGTGATGTAATTACCAACTCTACTCTGAACTAAAATGCCATTAACCAAGCCAAATAAACATTACATTTTTTTTGATGGGGTAAAAACCTTAATAAGAGCAAAAATTCAGTATTTTTTGAAAATGCATGCATTTTAAATTAGTGAATGTCCTATAAGTTGTATCCATCTCAATACAAAATATTTAGAATCTCTAATAAAGTACCCATGTCTTTGGATAACAGACCTCATGAATATTACATCGATGCTAATTGTGAGCAAATGAAGAACCATTCTGCTGATTTCTGCCTTCCAGGCAGACAGTCACTTACCCCCCCTCCATGGCAGTGTCTGGAGAGGTTTCCAAGTGGGGCAGCCAGCACTGAGTCCCTCCCTCACCTCTACCTGATGGCCACAAATGAATCCCTGCACTCTGTGATGGGAAATGACCAACCTTCCAGCACGTCTCAGTGACAGCTTTCCCCTTGTGCCTGCTGTTGTTGACAGCTACAGGAATCTACTTGTAGCTACAAAGTCATGTTCGCCTTGTTTTTCAAGAAGATTATTCCTGTTTATGTTACCTTTTGTGTTAGTCTTCGATACAGTAACTCAAATGAAGAATGCATGCTTGAGTACTGTCCTCAGCTGAGATGGATTCTCTTCAGTCTGTTAACTGTGATGGAAAAACTCATTAGCCTTTTCCCAGTGCTCTCCCATCCTTCTTCAGAAGACTGGAAACCCTGAAAACCCAAGGAAAATGCAGTGATGTGGAGCAATAATGGTGGTTACAGAGAGGGTAGAGGTAACAGACTGTAGAGCACAGGAGAGTTTGTGATTTAGTTACTTAAAATAATCAAACATATTTATTGGAAACAAATCCAAGCAGACTGTAGTCAGAATGGAGACCATCATTTCTAGGACAGCAAGGTGACCTCAATTTCCTTCAGAGAGCAAGAGGAGGGGTAGAGGGGTGATGGAAAGAAAGCAGGCTAGAGTTCTGAAGTATCTTGGATTGCCAATACCAAAAGTAAAAACAGAAGTCTGAGGAATCGTGCTCAGGAAGGTGCTGGATTTAGCACTTTGAGCCACCAGCCTGACACATTCAGGACATTTCCACTGGAGAGAGCTGGGAAAATGGCCCAAATGTTTTGATATGTTTAACCTGCTTAAGAACATGCAATTAGACTTAATTTTCAGGGTATTTGTTTCTTAATATCACACAGAGAAAATAATAAGAAAAAAATGAACAGGGAACAGCTTTCCATGGATGAGACTTCCATATTTATTGTTATTCCATGTGCATAGAAAATGGCAGTGAAGTTCCTTATGAAATAGGCAGGGAATGGGAGAGATATGGATATACTGGACTAGACTTTGTGCTTCAAAATTACACTATTCATTTTTTAAAATTTGGGCTCTTCTTAGAATTCACAACACTTTCTTGGTTTTGGGGTTTTTTTTTGGTGCATGATGTTTCAAATTCCTTTTCCAATGACACACTGCATTACAAATGGATGGCACTTGAGACCAATGTGGCATTTCCATATTTACACCAACAAAGAAATTTACATGACGCAGTAGCATACAATCCTGACATTCAGTAATAGCAATAAAACAAGGGCAGCCATTGGATTTTTTCTGTACAAACTATCAGAACAAGACTTTTATTCACATTAAAAAAATCGGCTTTAATTTGCTCTGACCTACACACTTTCCAAATTCATCATACTCAATTCTCAAACCTTTCATCACATCGCCCACACCCTCACCAGACTACAGGAGCTACAAGTAATGATACCTAACACCTAAGCAGAGCAAAACCATCCCTGCCAGCTTTTTCTCCTGACAATTCCTCACTCAAAAAAACCCCAAAAAACCAAAACCAACCAAACAAAAAACAACCCCAAAACCAAGCCACCACCCCCTGCCCCCCCCCCCCAAAAAAAAAACAAAACACCAATCATCCTTTTTCCTTCTTTTCTTTCACTTTCATATTTCTTAGCCAAAACAACACGGGGCCATTCCAGTCCTTCTCAAGCCAGACAAGAAGCACGCTGGGCTCTTCTCTCTGTGCTACACCCAGGAGTCAGGAGAGCCTGGGTACTGTTCTGCTCGGTAAGAAGATCGTCTGGTGGAATAAAAGTCTACATAATTGGTGGTTGATTTCAGTCCATACTGTGTTGTGTAATCTGAAGTAGCAGGAAAGTGAACTCGATCATCAAAGTAAGGATCCTCGTAGCTGTGTGGGGACTGCAGGTACAACCGATAGGCATCGTAGTTTTTCCTGGTGGTATCTTCTTGGCTGTAGTACAATTGCTGATGCTGCTGGTAAAATGATATCAAAATAAACTTTCAAAAATATAATTAGCTGAGAAAATACTGTACCCAAGTGCAGCTCGACCCATGACAGTAATGTAGGTTCCAAACCTCCATGAAATATACCCAGGGAAATGGAGGAAATGCCCCTGAGTTTGCTTTGTGTCTCCTCCTACATCACTTGAAGGGAGTAATTCCAAAAGTGCACAATTTTAGAGCTCAAGTACAGTAAGTACAGAACCTGGCCACACCTACCAAAACCAGCCCAAACCCAATCATAGTCAGAAAAGAGGTCTCAGATCCCACTGTAAGAAGGTGCTAAAACACGTGACTCATATGGAAGCAGCCAGGCTCCATCAGCCCCGAGGCCCTGCCAGCTCAGGGCACTGAGCCAGGACAGTGGAACGGGGCATGTGGCCAGAGCCCCAGGCTTGGCCCCTCCTGCTGGGCCTGGGCAGCAGCGCTACCTGAACACACCTCTGCGCTCACCTGCAGCCGCCGGTTCTGCTCTCTCGCTGGTGAGGAATAGGAACTGATGTAAATTGGTGAAGCTTTGCTAGAACCTGGGAGAAAAAGGTTTAATGCATAACTTCAGTCTGTATTCATTCAGCCATAAGTCTATCGGTTTTTATCTTGCCTTTTATGTAGCACCCATACTATTAAATCTGCAGATTTCAGTGCCTGCTAATGATACAATGTAATATCAGAATGAAGGCAAATGTCCCTCAGCAGCATTTACAGCAAAGCCAGGAGGCTTATGTTGCTGTTTCTCATTTTACAGACTGAAAATCTTTAAAGCAAGGAGTTTCCTTCTCTTTAGTCACTGTCATCTCTTGTTTCGCTACTTGTGTGACATAGTAGGAAGGAAAAGAGAGATCAGAGAAAAATTAAATCTTGATATAATTTAGTAATATAATAATATACAACTGCACATTAAAATTTATAACATCATCATTATAATATAATGTACATAATAATACAATTTTCTGTTCTAGTATTTTAAATAAAAATAAGAATTCCAACTGCCTCTCACCTCCCAGTATAGAAAGGGATCTGTGTTTACTCTGGTACTGGGCAGTTTTACAGAGGACAGCAGAGCTGGTGACACCCTGCCCTGTGCCACAGCCAGGGAATACAAGGAATGGAAAGGGAAAGCAGCAGCTGGTAGCAAGCAGCCTGCTAATGCAGTAGTCTGTGTATGACTGTGAACTCTTCCCACAAGGGATAGTTCCCTGTTCCAGAAGATGGTCAGCTGGTCTCTTACCAGTGTAGATGTCTTTATGTGCAATGACATCGCCCTGGCTACTGTAATACTGCATAGAAGGGTGCGTCCTGTCGTACTCGGAGCGAGGCTCTCTGATTCCCAACAAAGCCGGGGACGAGGACGTGCTGCCAACTGACAGGAAAAGAGAGGTTCTCAGCATTGACAACAAAAGCCTTTTGCACAGCCAGCCTTCACCACTGCCTGCTCCAAGTGCTCACTGCCAGGGGATGGGTAAGGACAGAACAGCCGGAGCTATTCCTGGGTGAACACCCTAGAGCTGCCAGCCAGGTACCAGAGACTGCAAGGGGCACTCACTGCTCTGTGGTGCTTGCAGGCAGACGCGGGACTTTTGTGACACTCACAGCCCAGATATGGGACCTTACCATGCTAGGACATCGCCTGTGTGGAGGCAGAAGATGACACTCTGCTAATGGTGATGGTTTATCTAAGTTATACTTAAACACAATACTTAAGGCTACCCTGTCACTTGTCCAACCTACCTGGCCTCACAGGTGAGTCCTGGGCATGGTGTGCTCTGGGAGGCCAATGGCCATGGGGGGATCCCAGCTAGGGACCACTTGTGTTCCTCAATAAGCAGCTGAATCTCAACTGCCGTTGTAAGAAGTTCTGCTAAATCCTCCCTGGTCTACATATCCCTTGGGCTTTGTTGGCTCAGAAAGACTCCAGCAATGGGAGTAAAATAGTTAAAAACAATTTCTATAAATTTTGAATCAAAATATTAGATAATCTTCCTCCACTGATGTGTCCGTTACATCATAGCTCAGAATTCTGTGTTTTTATGGATAATTTAATTACTGGTATTTTCCTGGCACATTCATGGCTAAATATGCCATGTTGTTAAAAATCTGACATGGGTCAACATAATAATGTGTGTTTTAATGATGAAGTGACTGAAACAAGAACAACTGTTTCAGGCCAAGCGTATCTGTTCCAACAGGCATCTGCTGTGCTCAGCAGGATGCTGCACAGCCCCTCTGGGGATGTGGGCCTTTCACCACTTCCACTGACTCCCTTGGGCTTGGCTGTGCTCTAGAGCAGAAAAGCAGACACTTCCTATTAGGAATTTTTACTAAACCCTCTTTGAAATACAACATCCTCTGAATATTAAATTAGAGCTGCTCATCTACTTCCTACTTGTCATTCAAAGAACTGGAGTAACACCGTTGTTCTGCTGCTGTATCCTGGGAGAGAAAACACCGAGATAGAAATTTGACAGTTGGTGTCAGAATATCCTTTTACACTTGGGTAGAATCCAGTCATTCCCTGAGCATAAGCTGTACTGGCTTTCTTGGTGGGTGAGAGGAACTCTGGCATAAATGCCACAACAGGTTTACTTCTTGTAGGAAAACAAATCCCTGGTGGAGTCCTTGTTTTTCAAGTCAACCATGTCATAAAGGAATGTGTGAGGGTTATTACTTTTATGTAAATAAGCAATTAAACAAGAGTGTTGTAGGAACTGGTCACTAATTTTAGTAGTCACAGCAGGTAGGCATTTCTCAGTATTAACAGAGATCTGCTGCAGATAGTTTCTAGAAGAGTAAATTGGGTAAAATAAAATGCCATATGATGACAAAATAGAAGGCTTCAGGTGGTTTTGTATCAGCTGTCTTGAAGATCTAAATCCTAACACTGAACACATTGAAGGAACAAAGGTGACAAATAAACAAGGAAGAGTCAGAAAAGTAAGGGTTTTGGGTTTGGTTGCTCATTCTTATGGAACATGACATAGTTGGGAATGAAAATGAGCTCCTCGCTGTGGGTGTGTTGCTGTTTATGCTGCCAGGTCCCCACGTTCCATGAGGCCACTCCACAATCCCCACACAGCACAGGAGAAGTGGCTTTGAACGGGGCAACGGTTGGTAACAGCATCCAGCTCTATGCATTGAGGATTTCACTTTGCAGGAACAATTCAGGGAGTACTCAGAGCACGTGAAGTACTTTGCTTAAACACCAATGTTGCGGTGTGAAGCAATTTCCTGTTTCACCTTTCCCAGCCCCTCAGGTGTGCCAACCTCTCCCTTCCCCTCCCCCTTGCCCCCTTGCTAAGTGCTGTCTGTCAATCTTAACATTCCAGCAAGGGCATCGTCTGGTTGGTGCAGTTCAAAAGATGCTTCTCAGCCCTGGGGTCATTGGCCAGTCTGGGTGTCATTGTCCCCTGAGACTCCCCGCCTCCCACCTGGCTGGTGGCACACCTGCCCCCTCTCCTCCCGAGCTTAAAAAGACACGGGACCATGCGGTTGGCATTCTGTTGGAGCTGGTACAAGATTCAGAGATCTGTGACCAAGGGATAAAACTCTGGATTGAATCCTACGGCAGAATTCGTCTCCTTTTCCTCTTCACCTCACCTAAAGCCTTTCCACCAGAGGTAAACCTGAGTTCCTGCTTGCCTGAACTTGTTCCAAGTGCCAGCTGCTACATCCAGCCAGCCAAAGGTGTCTCTGAGGTGAAACACCACAAACGGCTCAGGTATGGTCTTTGCTGCCTACTTGCCTGTCACCTCTTCCCTTTGTTATGTTGCCTTTGGTCAAGCAGCAAGGGCCGGAGCCCAGGCACGTTCCATCCTGTAATATTGGGATCATATTCCAATACACCAAGGAAACAGCCTGACCTCTGTGTTTTAAATGGGATTAATACCAAACTGAGAGGTGTTTGAATTAAAAACATGGGACAGCAGGTCCCCTTCACCCTCCCTGACTGACCTGACTGCATGACAGGTGACATCTGCTGATTTGCTGTAGATAGAGAAGGATGGGATTTGAACCTCTCTCGTTCCAGTGTTGATACAGGTGTAATAAAGTGACTTTGATTCCATCCATCCTATGGAGTGGCAAAAAGAAAAACACATCAGAATAAGGTGCAAGTTATAAATAAATAGGAGGAGTTTTTGTGGCACCATTTTCCAGTGTAAGCTAATTTTACAATTTACCTTTTTGTAAATGCTCCGGAGGTCTCGGTACTGCCACAGCGTGTTCAGTACCTGGGCTGCCGCCTTGACAACCTTCAGTGAGGACCTGAGGAGGTGAAGAATATGGCAGTGTGAGAAAGCCACTGAATTCCACTTCAAACAAACAGTGTTCCTGAGCTCTGTAACAGCCTGAACCTGCTGCTGTGGGGCAAACCAGACCCTGCATCACCAGCGTGAGCACAGCCAAGCCAGCAGCCTCACCACAGGTGGGGCTCCTGCTGCCCCATCCACCAGCCACAGGGGCCTCCTGCTGCTGACCCACCACACGCTCACAGCTTTCATTTCCACTAGACAACCACAGTGCCAGCAGAGAACTTGTCTCATGGCCTCCCTGGAGCCCTGATAGAGTGGGCAGGACCAGCTCCCCTCAGCCAGCACTTGCTTGGCAATGCTGTTCGAGGGCATTCCCCTGGCTACGTTCTCCTGCCACTGACCAAAGGGCTGCACTAGGTACAATTCATAGTTGCTGGGATA